TTGCTCTTCAATACTCTTCTCCAGCACCACAGCTCAAAGGCATCAATTCTCTTTCTATCCTCCTTGGTCATTGTCCAACTCTCTGATGCATAACAAGTGATTGCAAAGACCGTGGCCTGTATCAGATGCACCATAGTCTCCAGAGAGACACCATTGGTCTTCAGCACTTTGGAGAGGTCCCTAACAGCAGACTTTCCCATGGCGATTTTATATATATAATATTTTATAAAACCATTATCATAGAATGAGTATGAGGATCCAAGGGGCTGCAAGGGCAGAAGCAGAGGGATGAGGATGTGTAGGGTGGAGGTGGGATTAATCATGGGGTTGTATGATTTGATGGGTAGGGGGTGAAGTAAATTGGAAGAATCTGGTCTGAAAAACAATGTATTCAAACAAACTCTCTAAACTCTATAAATGTACAGAAATTATGTTAATTACAGAACAGAGTTCAAATCTTTTGTGCAAAACTTACTCTCAGTCCTATTCAACTTCATGACACTTAACCACTGCTAAATGAAACTAGTGTTGTTATATCTGGAGGAACATTCTTCCACTTTGTACATCACTCTTTGTCAATGTGGAGTATGAAGTAACTTGGGTTTGCTGTGATGCTGAACCTTGTACCATTGGAGTATCAAATACGAGAACGGTTTCCCAATGTGAACAGTGTTTGGTGGAGCTCCCAGTTGTAAAACAGGTTTGGAAGCAGGAGTGGCATCCACTTCCTAAACCACATGCCTCTGGAAACTCTATGAACTTGGAGAAATGACGATAGTTGTGGAAAGGCTTCAAGTCTTTTGTTCATAGAGTTGCTATGAGTCGCACTCGACTCGACGGCAGTCAACAACAACAACAATTTTAAAAAAAAAAACAAAACCCACAAAGCTGAGGATACAAAAGACACAAAAAACATTCAAGCTATAAGGCAAAGAATTAATTTTTTAAAAGCCCTCATATTCAAAACAAAAAACAAAGTAGATTTCTGTACCAGTACTTTGTGTATCCTTCAAACGCAGAGAGCCAAACAAGCATCTTACTCTTTTTATGTTATTCAAAATTGTGTGAACTGGTAAAGAGAGCATGTTGACTTAAAAGCTTGGGATGTTTCTGTAAAAACTGATTAATATTAGTTAAACATAGAATTCATTAAGATATTTATTCTTTTAAACAGTTCATAAATTCTGGAGCCATTCTAATTGCATTGAAAAGGGAAACCACAAAAATATTGGTAAGTTATGTCCTGCTATTTTAAACATTTTTAAAAGAATTCAGTCTAAACCTAGAGAAGGGTTTGAAAACTCATTGCTGTTATTCACTGCTGTCAATTTGATTGATTGATTGATGTGACCCTATGAACACAGATGAAAACTCTGTGCAATCATCAATGTCTCTGACTTCCTCAAAGCCTAAGGTTGCTGTCACTGTGTCACTTCATCTCCTTCATGATCTTCTCATTTGCTGACCCCTCAACCTTTGCGATTGACACAGTGACTGTGCGATGGGACCTAGGGTTTCAGGGATTGTGAGGATGACACAGTCTAGAACAGGGTTCAGGTCTATTGTTCCTGGGACTAGTCCATCCTGACAACATGTCCAACATATGTAAGAAGTTTCACCATCTTGGACTCTAAGAAACATCTTGTTCTACTTCCTCCAGAGACAGATTTAATTGTTCTCTTGGCACTTGCATCTTCAATACCTTTCACCAACCCTATAGTTCAAAGGCTTCAATTATTCTTCAGTCTCCTTGGTTCATTATCCAACTTTTCACAGAAATATCTAGGAAACAATTGGAAATGATGTCGCGTTGGGTCCATCATGAAAAACTCATTGTTGTTGTTGTTCCTGGGAGGTGTCCTCAAGTCAACTATGAATGATAGAAACTTCACGAACAATATACTAAAATGTTGCCCTAACCTGCAGCATTTTCACAACTTTTATCTTGCTCAAGTCCATTATTGTCGTCACTGGGTCCATCCATTTCTTTGAGAGTCTTCCCCTCCTAACTGACCCTCTTCCTTTACCAGAATTCTATTTTTTTCTAAGGATGAGGCCCTCTTGACAGCATGCCCAATGTATGTGAGCTGAAGTTTCATTATCTTTGATTTTAAGACGACCTCTAGTTACATTCTTTCCAATACAGACTTGAAATGGAACTTGGTGAAGTGTTTGGTACTCTTCTCCAATACCACAATTCAAAGGCATTATTATTTCTGCTGTCATCCTTCCTCATTGGACACCTTGGCGATGCATAAGAAGTAATTGAAAATATCACAGTTTGGATCAGGTGCATCTGAGTTTTTAACTGACCTCCTTTCTCTTTAACACTTTGGCCAGATCTCCAGCAGCACATTGTCCCAATGCTACAGGTTACTGCACTAGTGTTTTTTATTTTTACTACTGCTGCCAAGGGTGTTGATTGTGGATCCAAGTAAGATGAAATCATTGACAATTTCAATCTTTTCTCCATCTATCATGATATTGCCTAATGGTATAATGGTTAGGATTTTGGTTTTCTTGATGGTAAAAATGGAATCTACATTGAAGGCTGTAGTCTTTGGGGGTTTTTTTGTTTGTTTGGCTTTGGTTTTGAGCAAATGCTTCAAGTCGTCTTCACTTTCTGCAAGCGAAGTTGTGTCATGTGCATAGTGCAGGTTGTTGGTGAGTTTTCCTCCAGTCCAGATGCCTCATTCTTCATCAGGTAGTCCAACTTCTCTAATCATCTTCTCATTCTATAGAGTGAATAGATACGAAGAAAGAATACAACCCTCATGCAGATCTTTTCTGATTTTAATCGATGCAATGTCCCCTTGTTCTGTTAGGACAGCTTCTTGCTCTGTGTATAGGTGTCACACAAGCACAATTAAGCATTCTGGGATTTCCAGTCTTCAAAAGGTTAGCCATCATTTGTTATGATCCACAGAGTCAAATATTTTGCCATAGTCAATAAAACACAGACAGTAATGGCAAAGAAAAGGTACTGCATGGCAAGAGTCATTAGATCACACAAACAGCTAAACAGTCAAGTGCTCTCTTAAAACATGGACAGTTAGAACCTTTCAGATGCTCCTCTGAAGACAAACCTGTAGATCTGCTTCCCATAGGCCAGAACGTTGAAAACCCTCCAGCACAGTCCTACTTGACACACGTGGGGTCATCCTGAGCAGAGACTTACTTCACGACAACTAAGAACAACTGCCGTTCAGAAATTTTGACAGTGACTTGCTTGTCTCATAGGAAAGGCACACTGTGTAGCCATAGTAATTAAACCATAGAAGAAGTGAGATATGCCCAACCACAATGAAATGGATTAAGAAATCATGGTGCATTCACACAATGGGATACTATGCAGCAAGCAGGAGCAATGGTTTTGTTAATTACTACCTAACATGGAAGGGACTGGAGAGCATTAGGCTAAGTGAACTAACTCAGGCTCATAAAGACAAATACTGTTTAAGACCATTATTGTAGAGCACATAGAAGGATCTAAGGAACTGAGGTGGTGAGGTGGGAGTTTAATCATAGGATCACACAATTTGATGGCTGGAGGAAGGGATGGGTAATGGAAAGGGGAAAGATCAGGTGTGTAAAATAATGTATACGAACTTTATGGACTTTGTATGTAAACCAGTATAAAATTTAAATAAAAAGTGAAATATAAACAATTCCGTTCTAGTGAACGTAGCTTTTTAATTTATAGATGTAAGTAGAACATTTCTACTATTCTTTTTGATATTTTAATGAAAGTTTACAGAAAACTTAGATTTCCTTTCATTCATTGTTGCACATTATTCTCCCTACCCTCTCCCTGCCCCAGTTCACTTTTCTTTTTAAAAAGATTCGTTCATTGTTGCACAATTTCCTCCCTCCTCCTCGCCCCCCAGTCCACTTTGCTATGCACCTCTTATTCTGGACTGTTGTCATGCAAATAATACCTAATTTATTTCTTTTAGACATTCTTCCCCTCATCTATTTAAATGCAATGTTCATTATTTATACTCTCTTTTCTTAGTTTCTCCCCAACCCTCATGTCAGTCCTGTTTTAAACAGTGCCATTACGCAATATTTGTCCTTTTGTGACTGAGATATTTCACTCAACATCATGTCTTCCAGGGTAACCCATTTTGTATAATATTTCATGAGTTCCTTGGTTTTCAATGCTGCATAATATTCCATTGTGTGAATATACCATAGCTTCTCTATCTATTCATTTGTTGCTAGGAACTTGGGTTGCTTCCATCTCTTTGCTATTGTGAACAACGCAGCAATAAACATGGGTGTGCATATATATCTGAGTGGCAGTTCTGGCTTCTTTAGGGTATATTCCCAGTAATGCAATTGCTGATATTTCTATTTCCAACTTTTTGAGAAAGTGCCAAACTTGCCTTCCAGAGGAGTTGCACCATTTTACACTCCCACCAACAGTGAATAAAGGCTCCAGTTTCTTCACAACCTCACCAGCATTTGTTGTTTGCTGCTCTATTGAACTTTGCTATTGTTAGTGGGGTGAGATTCTCACAATTGTTTTGATTTGCATCTCTCTTAGAGCTAGGGATTTTGAACATTTCTTCAGGTGTTTGTTCACCATCTGAGTGTCTTCTTTGATGAAGTGTTTGTTCATATCCTTTGCCCACTTTGAAATTGTGTTTTTTACCTTTATCTTGTTGAGGTGCTAGAGTATTCTATAAATTCTAGACATAAGTCCCTTATCATACATGTCATTACCAAATATTTTCCCCAGTCTGTGGCCTTCCCTTTTATCCTGTTGGAGATGATTTTGGATGTGTATAGGGATTTGATTCCAAGAATATCCCACGCATCTATTTTATTCTCTCCTGCTTGTAGAATATTTCTACTTTTCTCACAGAATCTAAGAGATAAGATTCTAATTAAAAAGACACTAAGTGATTTCCATAAAGAGCTTCTCCTGTGAATGTCCAGTTCTTGGAAGAAATCAAAACAGCATATGTCCAGGGATAGAACTCAGAAGGCAGGAAGGGAGAGAGAAGAAGGGGCGGGGAGGGGCAGGGAGGGGGAAGATGCATGAAAATGGGAAACAGGAAAGAAGTGGGAAGAATATGGTTACAATGTGGGACTTGTAATCAATGTCATAAAACAAAATGTACAGGAATGGTTGAATGCAAACCAAACTGCACTGCTTTTGTTGTTCAAATCACAGTAAGAAGTTTAAAAATAAAAAATAAACCCAAAAGAAAATTGAGCCTTTGATTAAATAGGAGTCCTAAAGCGAAGTGCAAGCATGCCCAGGGCATTTGATATAGCATCAAAACTCAATGCAGCGTCCCTGTTCCTGTGCCCACCAATTACATCATTTTTGTCAGTTGTGCATTCCTCCACCAATAGACATAAAATGTAAGCAATGGGCAAGTTGCTAAAGCTCATTGGACACCTTCACTCTATAAACAAGGACCCTGTCTGCCTCTTGATGGTGCTGCCGATCCGGTTGCTGTGGTCCTGCTCCCCAGTCTCCCAGCTCACGCTTCTGTCTCCTGCACTGGCTAATCCTGAGTGACTCCAGCATGTTTTTTTCTTCCAGACGAAACTGAGCCAAGTGATGAATTTTCTTAGTGCCGTGGGAGCAGCAATTGGGATTGTTTTTCTCTCAATGGGTTTCCTTCTAGATCAGAACTACCTTTGTGGCTTTTCTAATGAACCTCCACAGTGCCATGCTGTTACCACCTTATTTACTGTAAGTATGCTGCGTCTCCAGGGTGAGAAGTAATAGGTTCAATCAAAAAGATGTGCTAGCATCCAGTCAGGATGATCTATCTATTGTTGTAGACACATAGACTGTCTTTCGTTCACATTTACTGAATCCATAGCATTAGTCCAGGCATTATGGAATAGAAAAATATACACATCATAATAATATCTTTAGGAATTTACAGATAAGTAGACGTAAATTATCAATACAAATTTATAGAAGATAAAGTGATGTTGTTGTTGTTGTTGTTGTTATGTGCCGTCGAATCGCCTGAGACTTAGAGTGACCCTATGTACAACAGCCCTAAATCCTGCTCTTGCCTGTTCCAATCTCACTGTCTCTGACTCACCTACCTCCATTATCCCAGTCACTGAGTCAATCCATCTCATCAAGAGTCTTCCTCCCCTCCGCTGTCCCTCCAACCTCCCAAGCATGATGTCCCTCTCCAAAGACTGTCTCTCTCCTTGCAACATGTCCAAAATATGTCAGATGTCAGACGAAGCTTCAGAATCCTTGCCTCCAAGGAGCTGCCTGGTTTCAGTCTCTCCAGGATATAGGTATGATAATTGTTCACAAAGCTACAGGTATATCAGGAACGTGCATGGAATGTTTTTACAGTTTTGTTTTGAGTTAGCTTCTGGTAGACTGGACTTTTAAAAATTATAGAAAAGTGAAAGAAGGCATTTATTTCTGCTCTTTCTGACATATACATTAAAATTAAAGGAATGATAAAGGTATACATTCATAAGGAGAAAAAATATTCTGAATGATTCTTTTTAAAAATTGCTTCAAGTTCACAGTAACTAACAAGAGTAGTCTGAGAAGAAACTGGTTATAAATTGCAAAGTTGAGAACCTGGCAGGATAATTAATGTTATTATTTTTGGACAGAGAAATGACTATTAGGAAAGTTTCTCTGTGGTCTTCGCTTGAACATACGGCTCTGGGGAACCTTATATTAAAGCATGAAACTTAGATATTTGATCACGCATTTCCTGCTTTGGCAACCTTAACAATTTGGTGAATCACAGTAAGAATTGTTTTACAAATCACAGTTTCTGTTTCATTTTTCAATTGGTCCTGGTCACCTTCACTAAAAGAAAAGGGCAAAAGAATTATACAACCTGAAGAGAAACCAGAGTATTCAAAGTAAAATAAAGATGATAAAAATCATAAGCAGGAAAAAGAGAAGCAATTAATCTTACCGTTAACTTGTCAAAAATGACATCTAAAACCAGAAGATAACAGAATAATATCTTTTTTTAAAATTTTATTTTATTATTTTTGTGTAAGTGTACCGTCAAATCAGATCTGACTGGTACAGGCAGAATAATATCTTTAATGTGATTTAGAAACATTGACCGATCATTGCTCAAGAAAACAGAAGGACTAAAATGAAAGATTTCAAAAAACATTAAAACTTCATTTTCCCCCTTTGTATCTTGATTATAGGAATAATAAAAGATGATTTCAAATAGGAAGGAATGATAGCATACTGAGGTGCGATGAAGAACAGAAAACATGGAAGTGATAAATATGTTAACAAATATGTATGAATATTTTTGTGAAAAGCATTCATTATAATGATATCTTCGACTCACTGCCATCAACTCTGTTTCAACACATGGCTACTCCCCCTCTGTTTTCAGAGGCTGTAAATCTTTAAAGGAACACTGTCCCTTTTATGGGGCTTAACAATAAAAGTTTAACATCTCAGATAACACTAATATTTAGTAAGAAAGGAACAAATAGAATTAAAATGCCCACTAAATTCATATGCTTTGCTTCAGGAGATAATAAAGGTTTGGTTCATTTTAGGCTTTGATAAATTGAGTACATTTTCATATTTATGGTACCATGAAAAGTAAGAAACTAGAACTAACAGAAACATTTAATCCAGAATAACCAACAACAGAATATACACTTTCATAATGCATATTAACGTATATAGACTGTTGTCATGTTATGTGCCATCAAGTCACATGCAACTCATAGTAACCCTATGAACTACAACTCTGAACCTTGCTCGATGTTGTGCCATGCTGACTCTGACATACCTACTCTCCTTACCCCAGTCACTGAATCAATCCATCTCATTGAAGGTCTTCCTCTCTTGCTCTGTCCCTCCACCCTCCCAAGCATGATATCCCTTTCCAAAGATGGGTCCCTCCTTGCAACATGTCCAAAGTATGTCAGATGAAACTTCAGCGTCCTTGCCTCCAAAGAGCAGCCTGGTTTCATCTTCTCTAGGATGAACCTGTCTGTTCTCCCAGTAGTCCATGGTATATTCACTACTCTTCTCCAGCACCACAGCTTAAAGGCATCAATTCTCTTTCTATCATACCTATTCATTGTCCAGCTTTCTGACATTTAGCAAGTAATTGTGAAGACTATGGCCTGAATCAGGCCCACCTTAGTCTCCAGAAAGACACTGTTGCTCTTCAGTACTCTGGAGAGGTCTCTGATTGCAGACTTTCCCAATATTGACTAGCTACTGGAAAGTAAAAGCAGACTAAGACCCATGGTTGAAGTCTCACAGTGGATATTTTATGTAATAAAAGCATAAACCAAAGAAAAACATAATCTCAAAAAAATGCTATATCTCAAGCCATCTCCTCAGAGACAGGTATGCCAGGTGGAGAAACTTTCCATCTTACCTGGCCATTGCCGTCTCATCATAATCAGGAAAAGCTCGACCATGTCAGCATCCTGACTCTTCACTTTTCTTCTTCTGTTACAGGGAATAATGGTCATACTGTCGATCTTCGCCGTCACTGAATTTTTAATTGCTCTGTGTTTCTCATTCTTGACATGTCAGTGAGCCTGTTGAGATGATGAGGAATGTTGACGAGAAACAGCACTAGCAAAATAAAGATGCGTCATAGCGGTACTTAGTAGTGACCTTTTCTAGGGAGAGAAAGTCCAAAGGAGCCTACGCTGACAACTCTTTGAAGCAAAAGGGAGTGATTAAAAAGAGAGAGCGGGGGTGGGGGGTGGGTAAGGATAACCTGACTGACAAACATAGGGCCTCATCCTCTACTCCTTAATTCGCAGAGTGGTGTTGGCATGTTGCAGACAGAGGGTCCCAAAGAATGGAATAATTTTATAATTATTAATAATGAGCCAAACAGCCAGGAATGAGATAGAGAAGAGAGCATAAAACAGGGGGCCAGCAGTTCTTGACTGAAGACCCCAACTCATGTTTCTCTGTGTATTTATTGATAATCTGGGGAAGCAAATAACAAAAGGAATTCCTTGTAAATGAAGGCTCTATTTTTCTCTATTGTCAGCTTAATGATCTAGCTCAGGAACTATTTCCCAGGAAGTAACACTTTGTAGGGGGATCCTAGCTGTCTCCTGTCTGCAGGAAAAAAACAGGTTCTTTTCTGGGATCTGCCACAGAGAAATCCTAACTTATAAATCTGCAATTCCTTCAATTCCTGAACAAGGATTTTCATATAAAGTTTTAAGTTTGGCTTCCCATATTGGTGGCATCTCCTTTGCTAGTCTTGTGGGTCACTCAACTAATAAATGGCAGTGTGAGTATTGTCACCACAGAGATGTGAACCGAGAGCCCAGGGGCCTGCTCACAGGTCATTTCATCCTCTAGCTCCTAAAATCTGCCAATTTCTCCAAATGGCTCCACCCAGTGGCCCCTACCCCACTGCAGGGCAGAAAGAGCGGCTTATTGGCAGAGGACTGTGTTCTACAAGTTTTATGTGGATATGGAAAGATCTTCGACACCAAGAGCCCCTTATTATAACAACCAGAATAGTAATAGCAATGAAAGTTAGCGGTTACGGAGCCACTGCAAAACTATGTTCCAGACACTGGGCTACGTGTTCTAGTTACACAGCAAACCTCACAAAACCCTCCTAATGTGTAGGTACGTGGTAGAATTCTTACCTTCCATGCAGAGAACCTAGGTTCGATTCCTGGCTGATGTACCTGATACCCAGATATCACTCATTTGTCACAGTGGTCTGATACTAAACAGCTCTGGTGTTTAGCACTTTGTGCTGCTAAACGGTGCTCTGGTGGTCTCGTCGTAAAGTGGCGCTCTGCCAGGTGAAAGGCAGCGGGTTCTAATCTGCCAACCGCTCCACAGGAGAAAGATGACATTTAGAGTCTCTGAAAACCCAGTAGGTGGATTTGCAACTATGAGTCAAGTCCAGGTCGATGGCACATAACAACCACCAAAAATGGTGCTAAACAGCATTCAGCAGAGCGTCCAGGCTAAGAAGACTAGGAAGAAAGGCCTGGTGGTCTAGTGGGAAGCCCAGGGGAGTGTAGTTCACGTCTCAAAACACACGGATTGCTATGAGCTGGAATTGATTTAATGGTGGCTCTTTTAAAGTTAAAGCAGAAACAGTATATTTCTGTCTTTTATGCCGGCCGAATGCTGACTTAATTACGGCCCTGAGCCTCTGATGAAATAACTATTTGGAGACCCTACACTCAATACTCCCTAGTGTATGGACTCAAAGAGTCTTGCATCTATCTGCATGGATGCCTCTTCTCCATTTACTCACCCTGAAAAGGGATGTAAAAAGGTAAACGTCAGTCCCACCAGCCTATCTTTGGAGAATTTCTAGGGTCCTTCCTGTCCTTTGGGACCCATCATCCACACCTGCATACAGGGTGGGGGCGGCAAAATATTCCACTTAATGTAGCATGAGACGCACCAGGCGGTCCCCTGGGGGCTCTTTTAAGAAGTGAAACCTGGTGGTTTCACTTCGACCCTGACAAGAGCGGCTTCAATCAAAATAATTGGGCCAAAGCCCAAAGTGGCAAGAGCTACTGATTTCCGTCACCTGTTAGCCATCAGCTATCCCAGCTTCAAGCTCGGCCTAGCTCCCTCAGTCTCTCTCCCTGTATGTGAGAACCCGGCAGCGGCTAATCAAGTCTCCTGGCGCTGTCTACATCAGCTTGTGAGCTCCCGGCCCTTGGCGACAAGGTAAGGAATCCATTTGCTTTATTTGAACATCCAAACCGGAGGTGATAGATGGGGCAATGCTTTAGTGTTGGAGCCTGAGACGTCTCTGGTTAGGATTTCTGATAGTTTCCTGTGGGCGCTCTGGTAGCTGAGAGGTAAGGAATTGCATTACCAATGCAAAGGTAGGCAGTTAAAATCCATCAGCAACTCCATGGGAGAAAGATGGGCAGTCTCCGCTGGGAACGCTTTACTGGCTCTGGGAATCCACTGGACGGTCAGCTATGAGTCACTTCTGACTTGACGGTACATAACTACTTGATTTGAGGGGCTCATTACCTGCCCACTCCTTTAACTTTCCCCTAAAGAATTCTGCTGGACAAGTCATTCTACCTTGGTAGCACAGCCGAGCATTAGATTAAAGCATGGCTTTCTAACCTGCTGGATTCAAACCTCTGCTCTCCCACTTGGAAGCTGTATAACTTTGGGCTACAATTCCTCTATGTACCCTAGTTTTCTTACCTACAGTCTGGGGCAATGATAATGCTTATAAAGATTAATCGCAAAGAAGCAAACCCATTGCCACTGAGTCACATTTCAATTCATAGGAACTCTCCAGAACAGAGTAAAACTTCCCCAGAGCCTTTCCGAGGGGGGCACCCTTTAGAGAGACAGACCTCCATGTCTTTCTCTACAAAACAATGGGGTTCGAACTGCTGCACCCTCAGGGCTGCATTCATGGAGATTAAACTCTGAAGTTTGCTGGTTGCTCAGTACCCACTAAGAAGGCGATCAGTCATGACCACAGCGAATGAACAATTTTTTTTTTCCTTTCTTTCCAAAGAGAAAAGTGAACGGGAGGGTGGGATGGGGTGGGCAGGGAGGAAAATGTGTAACAATGAATAAATAGGTAAAAAATTAAATGGGAAGAATATGCTATAAAAAATGTTGCAATTTTTTTAAAAAAGAACTCTATTAAAACATAGAGAGACCAGTTTGGACAGAAAGTGACGCTACCAAGACAAAGGTGCTGCCTCTACTCTGTGGCCCTCAGGCCTGTTTTTAAGTGGGTATGGACAAGCATTCTTCTAGGTTGTATCGCCCTGGTCTGTCCACTTGCTGTACAGAGATAACTCGGCGTTGCTGTGATGCTAAACACTGTGACACTGATGTGTCAAATACTATAATGGTTACCCACAGTGGACAGTGTTTGGTGGGGCTCCCCGATTAAAACAAGCTTGGAAGCAGGAGTGGCATCCACTTCCATAAATAGCTTGCCTCCGGAAACCCTATGAACCTGGAGAGAGGATGAAAGTTACACAAGTGTTGAGGACTTTCGTTCATAGGGTCGCTATGAGTCACCTACGACTTGACGGCACTTAACAACACCAATTTTTCTCTAGGAAACCTCTTGAAAGGCTTTTTCTCCAAAGGTCTCCCTCTGACAGTCTCTCTAGGTGTTGCTAATGGTTGCAGGTTAACAGCTTCTGGAGAGAGTCAGTGGACACCACTCTGAGCATAAACTCCTGCCTAATACCACCTGAGAAGGGTTGAGTGGACAGTGGGGACTTACAGGAAGTTCATTTGAAGATGACAAGATGCGCATTGCAATCCAAAACGAAACCAAACTCATGGTCTTATAGACCCCTTACAGCTGCTAGCAACCCCACAGGGCAGAGTAGCACTGATCCATCAGGGTCCCAAGGTTTCAGATCTTTCTGGAAGGAAGCAGGCTGCAATGTCTTTGGCCCACAGAGCATGTGGTGGGCGTGAGCTTCCGACCTCTGGGTTAGCTATCGGTTAACCACTATACCACCATGGCTCCCGGATGAACGTTAACCAGACCACAATTGTTTCCAAAAACCACATGTAAGGAGAGACTCTCCTGTTCCCATAAAATGCCTTCGTTTCACTATTGTCAGGCAAGGTGAAACACACCCAGTTTCCTCTGGTGACCTGAGCATTTGCAAACCCACTCTAAGAAGCATCCACTTTAATATCGAAATTAATGCTCACCGGCTCATGATTAGGGAAGACATAGTTCCATGAGCAGATTCCTGTAAGAAATTTAAGCTCAAACAACTGGGAGATATTATCTCACCCCAGTCAGAATAGCAAAATTTAACACAACAGCAAGCAACAAATGCTGGCGAGGTTGTGGAGAAACTGGAACCCTTATTCACTGTTGGTGGAAGTGTAAAATGGTGCAACCCCTGTGCAAAGCAGTATGGCGCTTTCTCAAAAAGTTGCAAATAGAGATACCATTTGACCCAGCAATTCCACTACTGGGAATATACCCTGAAGAGACCACAACTGACATCCAAGCAGATATATGCACACCCATGTTTATTGCAGCTTTGTTCACAATAGCAAAGAGTTGGAAACAACCTAAGTGCCCATCAACAAACGAATGGCTAGAGAAGCTGTGGTATATTCGCACAATGGAATACTATGCTGCATTGAAAAACAAGGAATTCATGCAATATTATCCAAAATGGGTGATCCTGGAGGACATTATGCTGAGTGAAATATCTCAGTCACAAAAGGACAAATACTGCATGGTGCCACTGTTGTGAAACGGGACTGTCCTTGGGGTTGGGGGGAGGCTGAGAAAGATGGGTTCAATAATGTTTACTGCATTGAAACAGATGGGGAAGAAAACTGTTTAAAAGGGATATGTGATTAGGTATTATCATTACAGGAGTCCAGAGTGAAGGCTGCATAGTGGAGTGCACCTGGGGGGAAGGATTGTAAAACAGTGAAAGAATGTTTCTTTTACTTTTCAAAGAGAAGAGTGTACTGGGAGGGGGAGAAGGGTGGATAGGGAGATAAGTGCAACAATGAATGAATGGAAATCCAAAGTCTCTGTTAATTTTCATTAAGATTAA